ATTTTTTTGATACTGTTTTCAAAAATATCGTATAACAAAGAACAGATAGCATCGTGGGTGTCAAGTCAAGTAACAGGTCGTGTATTCATAATAACACAAGTTTGAAGCAGGTAGTTCATCAAGATGCTATCTCTTAATCTAACCATATCTGACAAATACTGTTATAAATAAAACTCTGTTATCAAAAAATAAATTGCCTGCAAGGAAAACAAGAGGTGAATTCTGCACGAGGTATTCGCTAATTGGGATGACACTCACAGTACAATTTAAATTTTCATTTCGAATCTTTTATTTGTCCCGACTTTTTCATTTCCTTTGTTTGCTAAGCACTTCTACCGCGTACAAAATCAACACACTTTCACTTTGTGTTACTTTCATGCCATTTTAATGTCTTTCTCTGAACTGTCTCTCGAATTTTTTCTCAAACAAAGGAAAAATGAAACCACTGGTAGAATAACCTCCCTGAGAAATTTTGTGGGAAATCAGGAATTGAAGTGATTGATGAATGCACAAGTCCTATGAGTATCATTCATATAAATGATGAATGAGTTCTTTTGGTGTCAGGTGTGTACCATATTTTCTGGAAGAGTTTTTCATTCAAGAAAAAGAATAGGATCTGGAATGAACTGATACTATTGTGATGTGGAATTATTGGGTTTGAAATCTTTATTTTGAACAACAGTAGCGAGTTAGAAGGGACTGTTACCCGTCAATGATTCTATCTTGATGGATGGCTTGGATATTGATAATCGTACTCAGAATTTCACTGATTTAGCTACTGATCAATCTCTGATGGCAGGTCACATTGAGCTAAGAATAAAAACCTTCAGCCATTGTTCTGCCAAGATTTTTTTGAGGTTTCAGATCAAGGTGGATATAATTTCATGCTAATAATCGAAACAATCATTTCACCAGAGTGGTCTGGGTAGAGTTTTGTGGAGTTCTAAATAAATACGATATTTCACACATCTTTTCAGACAAAATTGGCCTCATCAGGATCTGGACATTCCACATCTAATATCTTCCTAATTTGATGGTTGGAGAGGACAACATCAGGCTCATTAGCTTGTTTAAGCCTAAGGGGGTATGAACGTTCAGATAAATTTGGACCTGAGTACATAAAATACTGTATCCATTAGCAACTAATTGATACCAGAGATATGGGGTTGAAAACACTGGAGAGATTAGTTATTCCATCTACAAAATTTTCCAAAACTGATCAGTTTCCCTTTGTTGAACGATAAATGTCCAATATAATGATAGATTAGATTGAAGAAATTGGATGGACCTGCTACAATTGCACACGCAAAGTGATTGATCCACATTATTCCTTAGAGATACCAAAGTGAGAAGAGAATTTCAACAGAGAAGTTCATTTTGCCTCATGAAAATATCAAATGAATGAATCTGAAATTACCTGTCTTCCATTATTTCCGTCATCGATACTTTCACAATTGGTATTTTGAGAGAATATCTGTTGAAATAACAAACACAACATTTTTAGAAATTTCAACGCAAACTGACATTCCAGCGAATTCTTGAGAGGAGCCAAATCTGGTGAATATGGTACATGTGGGAGCAATTCAAAGATCATTTCATGCAATTTTGCCATCGTCAGCTAACTTACGCAACTTCACTCTCCGATCTTTCAAAAAGATTTTGTTGACACAATGCCATCATACTCACGTATATATACTGAGAGATCCAAAACTCCTGAAGGAACAGCTGCAGCATTTTCAACAAACCAATACAATGCCACCTACAAACTCGACATTCAGTGTTTTCAATGCAGGGCTCTACGCTGTATGGACGGCCTTGGAATTTGCAAAAAATGAAAAATTACCAAACTTCCTTATCCTTACTGACTCTCTCAGCTCCATAATGAGCCTTTCCCAAATCTATCCTCATAATGCAATCCTTCGAATGATGAAAATAGAACTCCAACAACTCCAAATGGGTGAACAGAACATTATCTTCCTATGGATTCCATTACATATCGGCATTGAGGGAAATGAAAAAAATTACCTACTTGCAAGAAATTCAACAAAGAGTGAAGCACCCCCATGCATTAACATAATTGTCCAATCCGATTTCAAAAAAATTGTGAGGAACTTTCGGATAAATAGTTGGCAACAAAAATGGAACACCAATGGGTCAAAGCTGAAGGAAATGAAGTAATAATAATAATAATAATGAATTTATTCAGGCGAAGACATAAAATAAACTGTTACAGGCACGAATAATATGTAAAACACATTGATACGATACATTGGTTACAATGATCCTAATTTATTTTGAACAAATTCAAGTGTATTTCGATTTGAAAAATCCAAAGTATGATAGAAACACGGATAAGTGATTTTTTCCATCGAACACTGTGGAAAATATAGAATCCAAATTTTCTCGGAAAGTTTCAGCTTATGTGAATTGATGTGTATGTGTATTGCATTCAATTTCTTCAAGTAGGAGTTTTAGTTTCGGTGGAAATCATGAAAATTAACCATAATTTATTTATCCTGCTATTTACATGTTATTATTGAATTCTTTCTCTTCAAAAATTATTTGCAGTGGCCTTTAAATGAAAATTATTTTTACTATATTGATTCATTAGAACTAACTGCCTTCTATATAATTCATTGATTCCAACGAATAAAATTCCTCTTGAATTGAGACTTTAGAAACTGCATATTAAAGTACATCCAGAATTTTTAAAACGATATGAAATAGTATGAACTTTCAAATAGAAATAATTTGAATGGGACATCTGTCTGCGAATTCGTGACATGCCGTTGATAATATAATCAGCAGAGTAGAACATGAAATTTTCCAGTCAAGAACACAAAGTCTTCATGCGTTAATAAAGCATGAGGAACTAACTGAGTATAGAGACACATTTTCTGAACCAGATCTTCCTATGAATCATTCAGCACTTCTTGTTTTGAACAGACGAAGGGATGGAAATCCTGCAGCTTTTCTCGCACGCGTTTTGTATAATTCATAGCGGAAAGACGCTTCTTTCCGAAAGTTTGAATTACGATTATAGCACAGACAGTTTTGATTTGTTTTGTGACAACCTACTGCGATGAGACATGTATGTTAATGCTTTGATTAATCAATACATCAGTATAGTTTTTATTACGACGAGGGACTATTTATATTTCGGGAACTAACAACACTGATGTCATTAGGTAATATGTGGCAACATCATAATAAAGTTCTGATGTACAAGTGTTATTTGTTTTGTTTACAGTGAGTTAAGGAAATCAATTTGACCAAAAATATGGAAATTTCAAAGAGAAGGTTTTTATTTGATTATTTTTCATAACTTTCGATGCGGATTATCTCAACCAAAAATGTGTCGATGAACTCAGTTCTTTGTATGGCGATGAAGCACCATCAAAAACCACAGTATGTCTCTGGAATACTGAATTCAATCGTGGTCGTAGTTCGGTCGCCGGCGAACTCCGTGAAAGTCGTCCAAAATAGGTCGTTGGATACCCCATAATTCATCAATCGCTTGAAAACAGGCTTGCGTGAAGTGGCGTAAGGAAGTAAATAAAAAGTTAGATCGTGGTGTTTCAAAAGAAGTTAATGAAATTGTTACAGGTGACGAATCATGGATATAAGCGCATGAGACGGAAACAAGACAGCAACCGACTGTGTGGGCACCGTATAGAAGTAAACACAAGTAAGTTCACTCTCCGCCATATTTGGGTCAAGATTCCCCACCTCGAATTTTATGCTCAGCCAACCTACAGCGCAACCGACTAAATCTGATGGATTTACCAAGCAAGCCAAGTTGAGGAATGGAATATTATTACAGAGTGAGTCGTTGTGGTGGTTTTGTATTTGTGAAAAACTCGAGTATAGTTTCAAAATGAACAAGTGTCGAGCTGTGGATTACTGTAATTGTCAGGGTGATGTCGGCATTAGTTTTTTTCGATTTCCAATTGACGAAAAGGTGTATGTTTTTCAAGTATTCATTATGTGAGATTGAAGGAATGAACATATAACGAAAATATTATAATAAATTGTTATAGACCATATATATGCAGACTTTTCTTTATGAAATTAATTTGATGAAATTGAACTTCACGAATATTATATGACTCACAAGTAATGATATAAAATTACAAAACAATCGGAGTTCCACTGGAAATCTTGTGGAAAATAATTGTGNTCTTTGCACAAGGTAAGAATTTATTATACTTTGAAATTCGTCAATAGAAATTTGAAAAAAATTCATAATTCTGAACAACCTTCAGAATAGATTAGCATAAGTTTTTGACTTGAATTGTATCATCTTACTTCACAAAATATACGTTTATTTCACCACCTTGTCTTATTTTTTATCAATTCCTGAACAGTTCACAATCATATGAGATATTTATTGTGAGCTCCTCGTAGCAATGATGAAGTCAGATCATGGTCACATATTTTTTGATCGAACCTCGTGTAGAGGTGCATGATAGCTCTCAGCCTACACTTTCCCGCCCCACCACATGCCAACAAAAAATAAAATCTCGACCCAATACATCAAAGACGCCGACCGGCAGTGAATTTACTTATGTTTACTTCTATACGGTGGTGTGGGTATTCCAACAAAAGTTGTTCGTGAAAGAAACACAGCGAAGCAAACAGACGTTTGTTTCTTCGGCCGAATGGGTCATGTGGCTACTGTTCCGCTTGAGCAATGTAGAACGGTCAATTCTGAGTGGTACACGACAATTTGTTTGCCGGAAGTCTTCAGAGAAATTCGTAAAACTAACCGCCGAAGACGAATCATTCTCCACCGTAACAATCACATATCTCATCAAACAGGTGAATGTTTGAGCAGTCAAAACATCGAATTGATGACTCATCCTCCCTACAGTCCTGATTTGGTACCCAATGACTTTTTCTTGTTTCCGAATATCAAAGCAGAACTGCGTGGTTTTCCTTCTCCCGGTCACCCTAAACGATAAAATCACCCCTTCGAATCGCTGAAAAACGATGCTCACCTGTCTGTATCCCTCTCATGGCAGGATGTTCTTCATCATCTCGAGGGCTTTGGGATTCGGCGGTGGCGTTATTCGGCTGTTGATCTCCCGTCTCCCCACCGCTCAGCCTGTCTTCGCCGCCCTCAGCGTGTGTCCCTCCCCCATTCGCATCGTCCGTCTTGCTGTTCCTTTGACTCGACAACACTTGCATCTCCCACATTTGCTCTTGCCGGATGTCGTCGTTGTAGTCCTGGAAGAAAGAAAGATTGATGAACGATTAGAAGCGATTTCGTGGGGTAGAGGCCCGGGTGAAGCGTGAGCTGACACCCCGAAGTGCCATTAACTTAGGGATGCTCGTTCACGGCAGTGAAACAAGCGCCAAGTTTGACAACGGTGAGTTAGATCTACATTCGTGAAAGTGAGTGGGGAAGTTGAAGGTTTACCACGCGCTGATAAATCTCCTTGTGGTTTTCTTTGTTTGTAATTGTTTTATATTGTATCTTCATGTTATGAACACATTTATCATTATTATTACACATATATTTTGTAACTTTGAATGTTGCGCCGGATGGACCCTGTATCCGAAGCTTAGATACTTTCGGATCTCGCGCTGGCACTACTAAACCATAGCTACAAAACCTACAATTTGAAAAGACCTCATTTGGTGCAGGGGTCCTATGGATAACCTGTGCGAATGAAGGAATGAAAGAATGGCTCAGAGAAAGCATTGGAAACTTGGGCAATCTTTGGGAGGGGGCGGACTTGACCGTGGTCGAGGCCAACAACTCCCGAAGAGACCGAGAGTTCTAGTATTTATTCCGGGCCAAAAAGACGAGGAGGCTACATTTATGACAAGCCTCAGTATGCAGAATCCTGCCCTTGGAGTGGAAAACTGGATCTTCCTGAGCAGAAAAGTGGAAGGACAAATCCTGGCCTTCTCCACAAATGAAAGTTCCTTCTGGACCTTGGAGGGGAACATGTTTAAAGCCCACGATAAGCTGGGCATGGTCACCTTCAAGGTCCTGAAAGGTGTTAACAGCAATGTTGAGAGTAATGTTGAGAGTAAACCTGCAACACAGTAAGGGGGCCTCTGCTGTCCGTACCAAATTGATGGGGGGGTTCATATTGCTCTCATATAAGAACCCTGGGTGCACAGGAGAAAAATAATGGGATTGGGGGGCATCAGAGGAAAGATAATTCATAACAGAACCTCAGAGACCCCAAGAACATGCATAATTATCCGTAAAGGAATAAATATAATGCCGTTGAGTAATTTGTGTTTCAGAGACTTGACGGCAGTCGAAATAAAGACGGCTGGCGGAGGCTGACCTGAGGAAATCATCATTGGATCAGCATACCTCCCTTACGACAATCCGGAACCACCATCAACCAGGGAAGTGGAAGAGTTCGTTAGGACCTGCTAAGCAGAGGGACTACATGCAATGCACACCACCTAACCTGGGGAAGCACCAACATCAAAGAAAGAGGTGAGCACTTACTACAGTTTATCATGGCAAATAACTTGGACTTTTCAAACATACTTTCGTAAATGCGAGACGTAGTGAAGTGATAGACGTAACGATAGGAACTACATTTGTAAGTAACTATGTTTGGAAATGGAATGTGTCTGATGAGGAAAGTTGTTCTGACCATCAACACATGAACTTTGAAATTGGAGGGATTCAGACCTCGATCCTAACATATCAAAATCCCCGAAAAACAAACTGGGGAGCCTATACGGTGGACCTGGAAACCTGTTTAGACAGTATGGATTTTAACATCAGAGATTCCATAGACCTAGAGTTGGCAGCAGATCGATTACAGGGAGTTATCATCTCTACGTATTACGAACATTGTCCCATAGTAAACCAGAGATCAAACAGGAATGTGCCCTGGTGGAATGAAGATCTGGCGAGGATGAGACAAAAAACTAGAAAAGCCTTCAAATGTGCAAGGAAATCAGGTTAATGGGACCAATACAGAAGGTCCCTAAGTGAGTATAACAAAGTCCTGAGAAAATCCAAGAGAGATACGTGGAGAAGGCAATGTGATGTGAAGGCAATGTCGAACAGACCCAAGCATGTGCCAGGCTCTACAAAATACTCTCGAAGGAACCTCAGGTCTCAATAAATAATCTGAAAACAAATACGGGGGAGTATACAAAAACCGGAGAAGAAAGAGAGAGAGTTTTTCCGGGTACACTTTCCCGGGTCAGAAATTACAAATCTAACACCGGGGTCCTGGGCGAATTCAGAACTGAAGACCCCGAAAAGGGCATCCAGGGAGGACTGGCAAATGACAAAGAAGGTGATAGACCTGGAGAAAATTGAATGGGCTGTAAACTCATTTCAACCCTATAAGTCGCCGGGACCTGATGGCATACACCCAGTAATGCTTCAAAAGGGACCGAAAGTTCTTTTCAAAAAAATTGTGTATAATTCTCAGGGCAAGTTTTACACTGGAACACATACAGGAAATTTGGAGACTGATCAGGGCCACCTTCATTTCGAAACCTGGGAAAATCGGACATTACTCGGCGAAGGCCTTGAGATCAATCAGTCTCATGTCATTTGCGTTGAAAACGCAAGAAAAACTACTTGTCAGGCATATCAGGGCTTATAATTTTGGCCGTGAAGAGTGGAAGACCATTAGTCATCCCGAAAACACATTTGGAAAAATTACCTGGTATACAGATGGATCGAAGACCAAACATGGAACGGGAGCTGGAATATACCGTGCGGATAGAAATTTAAACTACAGCTATCCGCTAGGACTATACACATCCGTCTTTCAGGCGGAAGTGTATGCTATATTGTAGTGTGCAAGGCTTATTGAATTGAGACCTCAAAGAAATGAGCGGATCAATATTTTAACAGACAGCAAGAGCACACTAGGAGCTGTGACAAACCCAAAACTCTGACAAACCCAAAACTGGTCTAGGAATGCCATGAAGAACTGAATGAACTTGCAAACAGGAACAAATTAATTTTGTACTGGGTGCCAGGATATTCAGGAATCACAGGTAATGATAAAGCTGATGAATGCGCCAGACGCGGATCAACAACTTCATATATAGGTACTGAACCAGCTCTGGGGGTACCAAAATCATTGATACAAAACCAGATTAGGACATGGTCCAATAAAAAGCACACAGAGTACTGGTACCTGGCAACAAACACAGTAGAACTTTCATTAGGGAACCGTCCGAGAAAATAACCGAAGAACTACTTCAGTAAAGTAGGGATCGGCTCAGAATAATTACAGGGTTACTAACCGGTCATTGTCCGCTTAGAGAACACCTGAATAAAATGGGGCTGTACAACGGAGACCTGAGCTGCAGATTATGCAACGAAGGGATAGAAACAGCTCTACACATCTTATGCGAATGTGAGGCACTGAATCACAGGAGGCAGGCAGTATATGCTCGTACGAAATTACGTCCAGAAGAATATGACGAACATCCAACACGGAACCTGTACAAACTAGTACAGGGAACTAGACTGATGGAATGGGTGTCATGAGAAGATGGGAGAATTAACGCAGTAAGCTCAAGAGGCTGCAGTGTTTTCTGGAGACTTGGACTAAATGGACAAGTCAGACAGCTCCCAAGGTACCAAAATCCATATATACACCATACACCGTGAGGAGTGGGAAGGTCATCTCAATCTTTGCGTTGTTCGGGTCCTTTCCCCAATGTCCCGAAACATTTAAGAGGGCGCGTAGTATAATAAACCAATGACCACTCCCCACACCATGGTATAAGTGATCATTGGGTCAGAGAATCACGTATCCTGAGGAGACGAAATAAGCCAAGAAAGAGAACCATCTGTAGCCGGCCATGAGTTCTGCCTTAATGCGGCAAGCCGATATGATTCGAAAGTAAAGAGGGTACAATCCCACCAAGGACTCCAATAATCAGAACAACCATCTGAACAGAGTGGTCTGGATGGTGTTTGCGGAGTTCGAATAAGAAATATCGATGTTTTATCAATTCCTCCTCATCTTTTTAGACGAATATCGTTTTGCTCTGATTGCCGAGAAGAACTTATTAGCTTGTATGAGTCTGAGGGTAAAGTCTGGGGGTAAGGAATTAATAGTTTTAATGAGTTCAACATTTCTCCATACTTCCCGGAGCGCAGGGCAACACCAAGGTCTTGTTATAGTGCCTTACGTGGTAGTGAAGTACTCTTAGGACTGCGTTATGTCGGTAGACCACTGAGACCACCCAGGAACTTCGCGATAGGCCGTGCACCTGGTGACAAGAACCTCTATACCCATCACGCGATTATGGTGATGATGAACTTAGGTGTTTCTTCGACTAATCTATATTTCTGTTAAGAATGTTTTCAAATGTTTCTTGAATTTTTTGAGAGACGGTTACATTTTCAAAGTGTCCGGCAGGTAATTGAACAATTTTGGGGCTATGTAAATGAAACTTTTTTGTCCGACTGTTTTGTTAATTTTTGGAATAACACCTATTTTTCTGTCTTGTACTGTAGGAATGGGTAAGTACTTTAAATTTTTTTTTGTTCAAATATTGTTTAATGCATACCTACTTGTACGGTATAAAGTTGTCTTATATTCATTACTTGTGTTTCAGAGTAAAGGGAATCACTAGAATATCTTAGATCTTTCTGTAGAATCATTTCGAAGATTCTTCTTTGAGAGACAGACTTCTATCAAATTCAGGTAAGTTCGTGATACACTTCCCCACGCTATGATCCCATAATTCAAATGAGTTTCCACTAAACTTTCTTACACAATTTTATTTTTGCTTGAGGTCTAGATAAGATATGAATTGTTAAATCTGAATAATGGAGAACGCAATTTTTTCACAAGATATGATATATGATCATTCCATCTCAAGTGTGCATCTAGAAATATACACCTAAATATTTTATTTTGTTCACAGGTTCAATTTTCGAATATTGTTGAATGGTTGAGTTATAGGGGGAAGAGAAGTTTCAAGACTACTGAACGGTAAGTAATAGGTTTTTTCAACGTTCAACGAGAAAAGTCTACTGTCGAACCATTTTTTAAAATTTTCAAGTCACCTTCTTCTTTGACTTTTAGATCATACCACTTTTCAGCCGTGTAAATTATCACAGTATCATCCGCAGAACTGAGTATCTTGTATGCACTTACTAATTTTTTGTATGGAAATCACAGAATACGATTTGTGAAATCATCACTTGAATAAGTTTACTAAACTGGTTTATGTGTGTTCCTCTATTATTGTTTTGCCATCTTTGTTTC